GTCAACAATGACGAGTAGGAGCTTGGATTATCTCAATTTGGGGATTGTTTAGAGGCAGTTTAAAGGTGATGGACGTGGAAGAAGGAAGCCGAGAAATTTCAAAAAATGGAGAAGGGTTTTACAGTGGTGAAATTATGGTAAAATGGTGAATTTGGAGTTAATAGGTGAAGGGTAATTTTGTTATTTTACCATTTTATTACATTTTTTTTTAAAAAAAACATGGGTCAAAGGCCTTTGGTCCAAGTTTATTATTGAACCCGGCTATCTGGCCAAACCCTATAAATAAATAATCTGAAGGGAAAATATCGAGCTGTTAAGTGTGCTTTCTATATGGATTACTGACAAATTAATGCCGGGCTGTGTGTTTTCTTACTCTTTCTTATTGATAATAGCTGCCAATGTTGAACGGACCTCCCTTTCCTCTTTTCTTTCATGCAAAATTACTGGTTTTTATGGAAATTTGAATTTTTCAACTATTATGAAATGTAACAAATTTACTTGAATCACTTTTAGCATAATTCAACCTCAATCTTTTAATTATGAATAAAATTAGTCATTTCCTTCATTTGATTATTAAATGATCCTTCTCTTTACATAAATAAAAATAAAAGTAAAATAATAAAAAATAAAAAGAATTACAAATAAAGTCTCGGAACTTTTCGAAAATATAAATATATCCTTCTTAAAACAATTATTTACATATTAACACATAAATAAAAAGGAATTTGAAATTTTTTTCATTTTCCCCATTCTATTTCAGCCACCCATCCACCCGTCAACACCCACCCCACCATCCCAATCCACCCATACTCAAGACCAAGACCAGCTAAATTTACTTTTTTTTCTTAAAGACTAGTCTCTTGCACGGGCTGGGATATTTTAAAGTTAATATTAATGTGTTCAATGTTAAGGATTGACTGAAGATATGTGCGTTGATTGAACAAAAATTGATGTCTAAATATAGATGTTGAGGTTTTTTTTGTTTTAGACAACGATCACCAAAAATTGATGAATGTACGAGAGCGCTAAAAATAAAGGAGGATAGTGAAAACTAAAAATAAAGCAAGTAAAATTAAATTAAACAATAAAGTTCATTCCAAATATTAACAAACTAATTAGCATGTTTCATTCTAGTAATGTCTTCGATGGATCTTTAAGGGGCGATCCTAGAATTTTGTCATCTTAGCGATAAAATAACAAACAGTTACTCTCAGCATCATATATATTTGTCAAATTCGAAGGTTCGAGATATTGTGAAAAAATTATTTTCTGCAACACATTAAAGCAAAATTATGATCAAATGGAAATAGTACAGCGACGGCCTAGGTAACAGCCTTTGATTCCTCATGAGCATCATGCAGTCAAATTGCAAATCTTATCATTATTATGAGATGAAAATTACCAGTCTTAAAAACATTTTATAACCTACATTGGGAGTTTCAATTAAAAGTTGAGCTTCAGTTTATTTGATTAGTTTTACCACATATAGTCATTAAGAGTAAAATTTGCCACTTTGAGGTATGCTCCTAGTGCATCAAGGACGTATGAGGAAGAAAGCACACACTAATTTACCCAAAACTAAAAGAAAAGAGAAACGAGATAGCCAAAAATAGTGGAGGATATGATATACCTTAAACTGCTAATAATTGTCAAGATGATCCAAACTTTAGAGAGAACAAATTTTTATCTTCATTCAAGTGTGAAATTACAAGAGAAGGTATGAATTACTATGTCTATTCTTATGCGTATTGTTAGAATTGGGTTGTGACTCGAATTCTTTTTGAGTATTTGGGTCCTATTTGAGGCACCTTATTGTAGAATGAGAATGAAAAATAGAGTCGTTATTGTGGCCCAAACAAGAGATAGAAAATTTGAATTTAAAAGTTGATGTGATGGATAAAGGTCATATTTTTCATTTTAATGAGATAAAAAGGTGGCCCAAACGGGGGCTTGATTAGAAATACTGTTAGAGGTGTATTGGGAGTTGGTAGTAAATTTGAAAATGTCTTAAAGGAGTCTAAGATGAATTTGACTCCTATTCCATCCCAAATTCTCCACTATTGATTTTACCCATTGTATTGAAATTTCACCTGATAATAAACTCTTCATACATTAATTCTCCTAATATCTTAGGGATTTTTTGGTTATAAATATGTGGTGGACAACATATTTTGCAATTAACCAATTGTCTAATTAATTATTGGTCCAAAGAAATCTTTGATAACCCCTTACTATTGATTATAATGAATTCTCTGTTTCTGCAAGTGATTTTCTATGATCTTGTTTTCTTTATGATTAATTATTTTTATACTATTCATATTATTCTCGTCTTTATCATTTGGTCGGATTTCCAACAAGTGGCACCAGAGCGATTTTGGTATCTTGCTTGTTTCATAACAAAGTGGCATCAGAGCTAGGATTTTGACAGATCTTGGAAGTGCCAAATTGGTTGTTAAAGAAAGGTTTGAACAATGATGATTGTTTTAGGGATGGCAAGTATGAAAATTGATATTCCGCTTTTGGATCGCAACACCAAATTTTGTTATGACATATTTTTGTTTTTGGACGCTGGAGGGGGAACAACGTAAGGAGTTGTGATCTTGTTGTTCGTGGGGATAATTCAAGAAAATTCGTTAACTCGGATGGAGTTAGTTGTGATCTTGTTAATCATGTTCCTAGTGGTGATTCAACAATATTAATAGTAGTTGATGAAAAATTGTAGTTCCATCACTAAAGTGAAGATAAAATATACAACTGTTGCTTTTTAAAGTACAAATTTGTATAGAAACCAATCAACTTTCTAACAGAATATTGATAACCTAATCATTAAACCAAAAAAATATAAATACCTTCATTAATACCATAATGAAGATATTTTACTATCCTTAAAAGCAAAATTTTCATCATGTGAGACCTCAGATAAGCTGAATCCCCAAGATGAGTCGATAGCAGACTGTGCCAAGGATTCAATCAAGACGTGCCAACTCTTCCCACAAACAAAGATCAGACTGAACCTATTCTACATTACCTCCTACAATCTAACCTGTAAAAATACATGAATGCGTATGCAATCGCTGGATTTCCAGAAGTTGGAGAGGGCATGTGCTGGGGAAAGGATCGAACAGGTTTTGGTTAAAAAAACTGTTAAGGAAAATGGCTTCCCAGTTGTCAACTCGAATGGACTTCATATCAATACATTCCTTTGAAAATAGGGTTTGTACGACATATGCTAGCTCCATATTCCTCATAGTCTGCCTTTGTATGGCAAGCCTGTTTGCATCAAAAGAAAATGAGTCGAACTTACAAAAAAGTAAACAAAACGTGATAAATTACAATACAATTAAGCATAGGGACAAGGAAATGGGAAATCAATGAAAATTTGACGACTCAAAAGGTAAATTTGTATGACAAGTGTATGTCTAATGCATAGATGAAGAAAGCTCGAAACTATTTGACAAGGAAACATCTAAAAGGAACTCACGC